GCGTATAGAAATGACACGTCCCATTTTCGTTGAACTCTGAATTTTCGAAAATTGCAAACATTACATACATGCCAGAACCCATAGCTCGTTGTATCGCCCATTGCACAATGTCTCTTTTAGATAGAAAAGTATTCACAAGCCACCTTACAGTTCAAGACAAGATTAAACTGTTTTCGAATACAGTTGAACGTACGAGAAACGCTATTTTTGAACACATTATTTGGGCGCATGATCGAAACGACGTAGGAATATATTGGTACATAAAACTTGAAGAAAAACGGAAATAGAGTTACGCTGCTTTGAAATCACCATCTTTAAATGTCCCTTGTGTGTCCTAGAAAAGGGTGAGCGAAGCCTGTGCAGTGAAGAGTTGGTCTTCAATTTATTTTTACTTTCTTCCGCTTACGCAGCAGTAAGAAAAGTTACGTCATGCTGCACGAAAAAACGGTGAAGTGTCAGCAGAAAAACTCTTATTACATGATCCTGGTAACAAAAGGGTCCATAAATTCAGTTTCTAGATTTAGAAAAAAAATCCAACACGAGGTGTAGCCAGAATCCATGATTTGTAGGTTCTTGATACCGAAAAATCGATTGACGGCGAAACGTCTGCCCGCCTGTCTGTCCGTCCGTCCGTCGCTCCGTCCAAAGCTAGCAGCTAAACTGTTGAGCTTATTTTATCCAAAATTGATATTCCTCAATCGATCTGGCTGATGTTGCTGCCCCTTAAATTTGAAATTGATGTTTTAATTTTGGAAGTACATTACATGAAGCCCCTGGAATAATATCAAAATTTTCAAAAAAAAATGCTCTGTCGTTTTTTATTAAATATTGTTATTTGATCGTATGAAGAACGGTGGATAGAATAGTTTAAGAGAATGGGTCAGGTCTCATTTTCGTTGAAAACTCTGATTTTTGGAAAACTACAAAACTTCAAATTTTTTCTACGTCTGCAACTGCTTACTGCAACTGCGTCTACGCAACTGCAACTACGTCTGCAACTGCAACTGCAACTTACAACTGCAATAGGAAGACATGAGTTTCTTCTCTTAATGAAATCTGTCCCTTAAAGATAGATTTTGAAATAATGTCGAGTACGATTTTTCGAAAATTTGAGTACTGTTTGCTTAATTTTGGGTGAAAGTACGGGCGAGAAAGTATGTGTTGTTTTAAGCACCACTAATTGATTCATGATAAGTATATTATTTGTTCTTTGGCGTTTCCGCACTGGATGTATCCATATTTTCATCTCGAGAGATCAATTTAAAAATAGCTTCATTGTCGTTGACATGACGGTACAGTAGATACTCACCGATGATCACACGATTGCTCTTTCGCTATTTCCGATTTCCGTGATCCACACCGCACATACTTTATAAAAGTTAAACCTGTAATGCATGTTAGTGAGAGAATGTACCACATTTTAAAGAGTCATTTGTTTCATCGATATCATATCACGGACTTGTTTATTGTTGGCATCATTGGTAGTGGGTATGATAATCCTGATCATTACTATATTTACTAGGCTGTCAGGGTGACGCCGCGTCCATGGCGAAAGTGCCGATTTTCGGTCGCCATTCTGCGACCTTCCTCAGGCCATAATGCCCTGAGGAAGACCGCAGAATGGCGACCGAAACGTCGGCACCTTCGCCATGGACGCGTCGTCACCCGGACAGCCTAGTAAACGCGGAAGCCTACGCTCTAGCTACTGTCATTGGTAGTACTTTCAACCATTTGTTCACGTGCTTAGAACTGTTCATGACACTGGTGTACTCGACAGCTTTCGCCTCGTTACACCTTTCGCTTCATGTTGTGTTGAATCTATTGATTTGGGATACTGATATAACTTCAGACTACAGAAATCGGATTACGGCACGTTGTATTTCTTTGGTGTAAAGGGAGACAACCACAGACATGTTTTCTTAGCAACAGCACAAAGCGAACTGAAACCTCATTGAAGTGCAGACAATGGTGTCATCCATCAATTTACATGCGCAGTAAACAAGTACAGTCAACTTACAGACGTTAAGAACGAAAGTGCAGATATTTACTGGCTTACCTATGTGGTATGTTTTCACTTTTCCATCTGAAAATTTCATCACATTGGCATCAAGAGTTAAGATTTTGACAATTCTGGCCATGGGAACTTTTGTTTCAGCTTTGTTTTTCAGGAAATGTATACACAGAGAACTCTAAAATTTGTATGAATTTTACCGAAAAGTTAAAAGTAAACGGTAGATGTGTTATTTTCCTAAAACAACCTCTGTAAATAACAAATATATGTAGTTATAGGAAATTATTTTGCACTAATGTGCATACAATTTATGGCTTCAGTCCATCTGGTGTCAGTATGCAGAGAATAATTCAGTTTCTGGCTAATGGTTGGTCTTAATTGTGACGGATCAAAACAATCTATCACGCTATCAGAAAATATCGAATCGAATTATCGAAAAAGAAAATATCGAAAATATCAAATTAGCGACCCGAAGTGCACCCCGGGAAAAATATCTTTATCCGACGTATTTATCGTATGAAATATCAATGGTAACAGTTTCAGTAATATTCCAATTTCTATCCTACATTAGTCATCACTTGAAAAGCTCCAACGGTAGGTTTCAAAATTGGGCGAAAAAACTAATGTCTTGAAAAATGTGTATGTGTACATTAAACTAGTTGAAAACTCAATAGAAATAGATTTCATTTAAAATGAAATAGCATAATGTTACTGTAGGAGGGTAATGAAAACGATTTTAAAGTTTTTGCAATTTTAAGAAATTCTAGAAAATGGAAATCAAAAGTACGCCATTTTATCTGCGTAATCGATTCTATTTCAGCACAAATGTAGATAAACAATTTGAAGCCATCTTTCTACACACTCTAATTTTCATATTTTTCTCAATTATTGTAATAATTACACGAAAAAAAATCGCATTTGGAAAAACAAATGTTCGTAACATTAATCAAAAATCTAATTTCGAAAGAAAGAAATTTCATTAAGAAAACTATAATATATCGTTTATAATGTAGTTGTAGGGGAGAACTAAAAAAATAAGTTTTGCAAGTTCAAAATTAATGGAAATTTGAAACGTTACTTTCTTGTAGGGGATACTTTGCTCTATTCTAGCACAAATTTTGGAGAAAATCATTTGGAACCAATTTTTGAGAAAACTTTGAATACTGTTTCACTAGGTGTACGTAAAATTTAAAAGATCCATTTTGCATTGGCAAGACATCAAGTGTGGTCAGATCCTTTGGGGAATAACTACTTTGGAGAAAATCCTATTTTCGGTGTAAGTTCTACCCATGCAAACGTACAAACGGGACGTACCGATGGGACTAACAAGCGAAGCGATCGGGCAGGACTGACAAGCGGGATGTCTAAACGGGAGGGACAGATAGGGACATAAATAGAGGAACGGATAGATAGAAGGACAGACTTAGAGGGGCGGACAGATCGAGGGACGGTCTTAGAGGGACAGACAGACAGACGTTCAGAGAGGCCGAGGGACAGAGGGACAGAAAGACGGTCGTCAGACCTTCAGACATTTTGAAAAATAACGCTTTATCGGAATCAGGGAGCCCCAAAGCATACATTACCGACAAAATTCCGACTTCGTTTTTTCCGTGAAGTATATTACTATCCCAAGACCCTCCGTTACAACACTGCCCTAGCGGCGGAGGCTGCCTCCGACCTCGTTTCCACGCCCAGCACAGAGTGCGCTGGTGCATGCGGGGCGCCGCTCGACGCCCGTCTGCGTGGGGGGCCGCAATTAGGAGCTTCGTTAGCCGGCAGCTGCCAGACGCCGGCGACGGCCCCTCTCACGTCGCCACAGAAGCGCGCTCCCGAACGCCCGAAGCAGAGCATTGGTTCGAATGGAACGCGGCGTTCGGAAGCGCACCGCTGTGGTGACGTGTGAAGCAGCCTTTGAATCTGTGTTCTGCAAGCGGTAGCGCTTCGGGAGGGGAAGGGCCGCAGCCGCGCGAGCCCGCCGCACGTGGGAAGACCACCATTTAAACCAATGCACTACTGTAACTTACAAGCCGCGGCGTTTGGAAGCGCGCCGCATGGTCGCGACGTGAGAACGGGCACTAAGGTGGCGATCACACCGCAGATGAATTTTTGGCCGATAGATTGATTCATTTTTCGGGTGCGTAAACTGCTTGGTTATTAATCCCGTTAATGAAGAGAATGTTTAATCGCTGGAGATGGCGGTGTTCCATCCTCCGTTAGATGGAGATATCCGGCGCCGACCTACATGTCGTCTTAGGGGTATTCCCCGATCAGATCGATTGATTTATTAGTGATTCTGCGCAAGTTAATTGCTAAGGTAATTTGTTCCGTAAGTGTAGTGCACATTTTTGCTCGCGAGGTGGCAGTATCTTCCCCCGATGAATGGTGAGACCGCCTACTGCCGTACAGAGGGGCTTTACCCCAACCATTTATCTCCCACCAGTTACGTACAGCCCCGCCGGGACTAGCTCTAAGCTCCCGACCGGTCTCCCGGCATATGTGGTAGTGTAGTAAATGTAAGTGTAAAGTGTGAAAGTAAGGGGTGAGGATGGGATAAGAAAGGGGAAGGATATAACGCGGGGCGTGGCCCGTTTGTTAGGGTACTGCTCCGACATTCGCCTAATTGTGACTGACAAAACACACTGCCGCTCAGAGCAGCCAACCGCTACACTTCTCCCCCACACAGTGACAGAACACCACTCTAGGGCGCTGTGTTAGAAACAGCTCTTGCTCTGAGCCATATCAGCCGAAGGTATTCTCTGACAATCAAACTCTTCGACTGACCGTGGGAGCGTCTGATCAGGAAACCCCAGTTTGACAGGTCGACACATGGAATGACGACAGATAGGGCAGGACCCACAATCCGACAGACCAAGCGACCGGCAGTCCGCACAAAAGAACGACGATCAAAATACGGAGAGACATGACATTTTATCATAAAGTATTAGACACCACATAACAGATTGTTCGAACTCCCGACTGACCTACTTACATGTTCAAATCTACAGCCATACCTATAACAAACCCATAGACAGACACTCCTACCGACACAGAGACTAACAGTACACCAAGACCCACCTAACGGCTGAACGCCTCAGCAATGAGAGACCGGTTTACTGAAGCAAAGACAAGCGGTCAGAGGCTATTTTCTTGCTGTCTGTTAATTTTGATAGGAGGATTTTAATAGCGATATATGTGAATAATTTTCCATAAAATTAATGTAAGCAACACTAAAATCTTTTTCGCAAAGAAAAACCCACTTACGTGACTCAAGCAGTAGCATTTTCTACAGATAGGCTGAAAATTGCAACTAATTTCAAAGCATTATGATCACATGTTTTCGCATTTAAACTTTTACAGCCAACACTTACACTTAATTACAACGAATGTCCCGTTTGGATAATCGCGTTCCAGCTGACCAATAATAATCATAACCCCTCTGTTTTAATCGCCTTAGATTGCTCGGAGCGTCAACTTATGTCACTGCATTGCCTCTGACCAGAGGGATCTAGAGACAGTCCCAACGGTGAAATGATTGACTCTATCTAGACAGTGAAGTCGAATTCACTCGTTGTCGGGAGGAGAATCCTAACAGCCGGCTGCTCTGGTCGGTTCTTTCCAGCGATTTCCCCGATCAACACGAAGCAAATGCCGGAGAAGTACCCTAGCAAACGGGCCACGGACCGCGCGCAATCATTTCTTTTCCTCCCTTGTCCTACCCCCACCACTTGCCTACACACACACACACACCTCACATGCACTGCACTGCCTGACACGCCGGGAGACCGGTCGGGAGGTTAGAGCTGGGGGTTAGAGCAAGCGGGCCACGGACCGCGCGCGATCATTTCTTTTTCCCCCTTGTCCAATCCTCACCACTTGCTTACACACAGACCTCACATGCACTGCACTGCCTCACAAGCCGGGAGACCGGTCGGGAGGTTAGAGCTTGCCTCAGCTGGCTCGGTCGTCCCGCTGGTTACCTCATTGAGGAAAATCCCCGCGTGCCGACGGTAAGTCGGCGCTGGATCTCGCCATCCGGCAGGGAAAGATCACCGCCACCTCCCGCGATAAAACATAAACTACACTTACGAGACTAATGACCTTGTCAGTCGACACATCGGGAATCACTACCAATCAATCACTCTGAAAACATCTCGAATGTTGACTAATTAGGATTCTTGTAAGAAACCTTCCCAGTGTAATTAATACGTAGTTAATCTTTGTTGAATACACTGATTTTGGAGTTGCATTGTATTTATTTAAAACACTGCAATTCCGGAGCATTGCCGGGTCTGCCAGTAACTTAATAAACGAAAACACAAGTAACTCCCTGCGCTGCCCCGCGCGGCCGTAGCCTTGGGCGAAAGCGTGCCGTGGCGTGGCGTGGCGTGGCGTGCCGTGGCCCCGTCGTGCGTTCCGCGTGCGCGTGTCTGTCTGTGCTCGGCCGCCGCGTGATGCCGGCCGGCCGGCCGGCCGGCGGCGTGTCGACACGGGCGCCGCTTTACAATGCCACCGCACGCGTGTAAGCGACCCGAAAATTGGAGGTAATAGGGGAGAGGAAGTATTCACCGTTGCCATTGTGTGCCACCGGCTGGGTTAGCTCAGCAGCAGCGTTGCCGCAGACGCTGCAGCGTCTCTCGCCGGGAGGTGGCTTAGGGCATCAAGTGAATTGTTTATTTCAGAAACCCGTCAAACGCCAAGATCTAAAAAACGCCATAGCGACGGTATATTGCACCATGAGTAGACATGGTCACATCTTTTTGTGCAAATTTACATGAAAAATATTAATTTTTGGACAGCTGTAAAAATAAAAGTATTGTGAATCAAACTGGGTAACTTTTTCTCAGTTTTCTCAGAATGAACGATTCAATTGATCTCACCGCAGTGCTTCTGATCGGCCGTCTTGGATTCGAGTCCCGAATTTTAGTGGAGAATTTTCGACACTAATTACGTAGCTAGGTCGAATTCACCCGCTGTCCAGACGCGAATTCTAGCGACCAACTGCTCTGATCGGGACTTCTCCGATCAATACCAGGCGAATGCCGAATCAGTACCCTAACATGAGGGTCACGGAACGCGTGAAATCATTATTTCCTCTTCCTTTTCCTGTCCAAATCTCTTACACACACATACACATACACACGCACACAAATCTTACCACACACGTGAGGAGCTTTGAGCTTTTTCCGAGGGATGGTATCCCATTTCGGGAGATACTTCGAGAGGGGAAATCCTTCGCGATCCGACGTGTCCTGTAGGCGCTGGATCTCACCAACCAGCCGAAAGCCACCCAAAGTCACCGCCATCCCCGAGATAAAAAGAAAAATCACTACACGCTGAGACTAATGACCACAGCGATGACGGATCTGGAAACAATCTGTCGTCATAGCTGATGACGAGTTTCGGGTTTTCCTAGAAACGTTTCCTCGGGTTTTCAATATTGAGTTACTTGGGTAACTAATCTTTGTTGAATAACAGTTCATTAAACGTAATTTTGGTGTGTTATATAGCATGCGCAATTCCTTATCAAAATGTAAAGAAATGAATCTTCAACCTTTTAAATTATTTCACTTTTAATAATTAAATTTGTCCAAAGAATGGGTATCCCCCAACCAATCCTTTGAACAAATTTAATTATTAAAATGCATGGTTACACAGTAACAATTTGGATTCTTTACGACTGCGGAATATATTCTCCGGTCGTAATTGCGTCCAACAAGGGGACGGGAACGGTTACAATTTTATAATTTATTGATTTAATGTTTTCATTTTACTCCAGTTTTCTTAAGAAACCTTTTGGAGCTTCTTTTCCGAAATATCTATTTTGAAATAACTGAGTGCTTAGTTAAATTTCCAGAATCAAATTTCGACATTCTTCTATTTTATTGCTCAAGCTTAAAATATAAAAATAAATATATTAATTTCTATTATTAATTAATTCGTATACATTATCTAATTGTGACTATAATGTACAATATTATTTATACAATATATTAAATTTTAATTAAGTTGTTTCAGAAACAACAATACGTAAACATGTCTTGGCAGATAATTATTCTTTTTTTTTACTTTTAGTTATTGTATGTTTTTCCCACTTCATTTGCAGTGCGTAACTTGCAATTCCGTTAGTGCTATTAAATATTTTCTGAACACTGATATCAGTTTCTTTTTCAATGTTTTTACATATTTAGAGATAATTGTTCTCACTAAGATGAAGTTCTTATTTTCATTACGACTTGAAAATCTTACAAGTCCACAAACGTTAATATTTACTGAAGTCTCAAGTTAAAGCTCGCTTGTCATCTTCTATGCTTTCGACTGAACAAGTACTGTAGACATGTACTGTATCTAAATATGTCATTCAAGGTATATTTCCTTTCTTGAATTGTGCTTCGTGTAAACATATCGAAATCTGTAACTTAATTCCGTCTCCAGCATTAGCAAGCCGAAGCGAGGGCTTTGAGGCGCGCTACTCGCACAATCTAGCGGGGAAGCGAAGAACTACTAGTTGGCGCCTTCCTCGAGATCCGATGGAGAAAATTATTCACAGTAATAGAGAAAACCAACCACCCATATTTTTTTTTTTTAGAATTAACTGATCTTTAAAATATGGTATTGTGGTGAGTTTTTGTTGGCATTGACTATGAAATAATTATGAGTCGTCACTGCCAACAATATTGTTTATTATAATATCAGCTTTCGATAGCTTAGCCATCCTCAGTTTTCTGCTGTATGGAAGTCACAAAATTGTCGCACATTGAACTTTAAAAATATTTATTAACTTTATCTTGTATTAAACCTTCAGCGCGACATAAAATACACGGAAAAAAAACTCTTTGAAACACATCTGACCATCAAACCATCAGTGCCTGTATTTTTGACATTGCCTAGAGAGAGTTAGGTCGAATTCAGCCGCTGACTGGAGGAGAATTCTAGCGACCGGCTGCTCTGATAGCTGGTTTCTCCGATCAACACTACGCGAATGCCGGTGTAGTACCGTAACAAACGGGCCACGGTCCGCGCGCGCGTGCTCTCTTTCTTGCCTAACCTCACCCCTTACACATACTTGCACTAACATGTACTATACTGCAACACATGCCGGTGGATCGGTCGGGAGCTTAACGGTTTGTCCATGGCTGGGGCGGAGCTGCCGCTGGTGGGAGATACCTGGTTGGGGAAAACCCCGGCGAGCCAACAGTTGGTCGGCGCTGGAATTGCTCACCATTACCATCACCATCACACCAGGGAAGAACACCGCGACTTCTCGAGCAACAAAACACATGCACTACACTTACGCGACATAATTTTCTTAGCATATTGACGCCACCCACAATCACTAATCAATTAATCAAACCTAATTCGTTCATCCTCTTAATCACCCTAATATTCATTTCAATAGAAGGCTAAATCATTCCACATATATGTTCACCTGTCCTCCAAAAGGGAATGACATAAAAGTTTCTAGAGTCTTCTCCCGTTTAAGAATATGAGCACGCAGTCTATCCAACGTGTTTTGAGTTACGTTACACTCAATTTATTAATTAGGCGAGTTACACAGTCTTTAATATTTTCCAACCAATGCAGTTGTTTCTTGGAAAAGCTGTGGAAAAATTTAAGCGGTTACTGTTGTAACTATGTAACTCGACTCAGTTCTTTCCTGTTGGCGAAAGATATACTCACACGGCAGCAACTGTTTCAGGAATATGAAAGGCAAATTCGGAAGCTCCCACGGAGATTCACATTAAACCGTAACTTTAATTACGCATTTTCGTATTGAAAATAATTTTTACTCTACAATCTTAACATATTTTCAATAATTGTATTGATAACCAATAATCTGACTTACACATAATTACAATATTAATTACTACCCACCAGGTTTAGGAAGAAGACCTAATATAGAGGTTCAGCTCGGGCGTGATAAATTGTAAAAACGCTTTCTTTTTTCATTATTTTAAAATAATTTTTTTAAGCGAAACCTTAAGGAGAAAAATATGTAGTAGAAATAGATG